TGTGTGTGTGTGTGTGTGTGTGTGTGTGTGTGTGTGTGTGTGTGTGTGTGTGTAAGTCAGAAGACGACTTGTGGGAGTCGCTTCCACTTTTCCACCGTGTGAGACCCAGAGATCTAGCTCAGGTCATCAGGGTTGGCAGCAAGTGCCTTCTCCCTGGCATTTCCGAAGCAGGTCCTATGTGCTGTTTAAAGATTATGTCCGAATCTGTGTTACTGTTCTTTTTCTCCTCTTAGGCTGTATACACACGCATGTATCCTTGCCTCCCTTGAGTGATCTCTTTAGCCGTTGCTGGAGGCAGCTTTGTGATTATTGACCCTGCCTACACTTCTCTAACCCCATGATTATATTGGTGCTCTGTGGAGAGGTGCAGGTTTCAGAGTTGGTCCTGATGCTGAAAATGTAGTGGATGGCAGTGTTACTACCCAGGCACCATTGTTGAGAAACTATGTGATTGGCCCGCACTTAGGCAGCCTTACCTAGTGTTCTGAAGTTAAGACATTTTAGGGCAGAAGTGTGCTTAAGATTTCTCTTTGTCCCACACAACTAATGGTGATGTGCAGACTGTGCTGGAAATTCCCTGTTAATGGTCTCTTCAGGAATGTGGCAGGGTACGCTAGAGATCCAGAACACACTTCAGTTTCACGTTTTGACTTACACATGCCAAACTGTGAATTTCTATGGCATTCCGGACCCGTGAAAGAAATCCAACTTAAATATAGTCTGGCTTTCAGCTCAGAGTTACTAGCAGCATAGCTCAGAAATGAACGCTTCAGTAAGTACAATCCAAATTGAACGCACATGTTTCTCTAGCCTCGGATATTCGTGGTGTTCTTTTTTAGCATTTTCCTGGAAGAAAGTCTGGGAATTCGCCTGTAGCTCCTGCCGTCAAAGTTTTTAGACAGTTCCTTATGAACCGATGACTTCCTTGAAAACAAAACCTTTGTGTACAGTGTTTACCACACAAAAGCTGCAAAGTGTCGGTAGCTTTGAAAGAAAGAGCTTCATGGAGCCACAGAGTAAAAAGCAGAAAGGAAATCTTAGGGAGCCCTTAGAGCGTGACGGGTGAGCTTATGTACAATATTGATGCACCGGCCAGCTGAGCTCCTTGGCCAGATGGAGGTGAAGAACAGAAGTCTGGAAGGTCAGGATCCAGATTGCCGATGTAATGGATTATCAGCAGGTAGGGAAGAAACAGGAGAACCAGAGGCTTTATCAAAAACAAGACTGTGAGATCATACCGAAAAATAGGCGAGTAGAAAATGAGCGTCATGTCCTTCAAAGACATGAAAATGGTACGAGGAAAATATAACTGATTTCTGCCGATTTTCTTTTCATTTTATGTTGGCTTTGAAAGTTAGCATACAAAGTAATGGGTTTCATCGTGGAGTTTTCCAACACACTTTATCCTTATCGGCCCCCTCTTTCCTGCCCCGCCTCCAGTGCGTCTCTTCTGCTTTCAGGTCACATGCCTTCAATTATGCTTATTTTTCTGCTCCTCCTCAGATCTTCTCCCCAACCATGGCCCCTTTATGGTTTCATGACTTACACACACACACACCCACATGTACATGTGTACACATATACACAAGTCAAGGTCTAGAGTCCCCATAGGAGAACAAGCATGCTGTATTTGTCTTTCTGAGTCTGACTTATTTCTCTGAGCATAATGATTTCCAGTTCCATCCATTTCCCTGCAAATGCCATGATTTCATTTTTCTTTATGGATGAATAAATTTCTACTGTATTATATATACCATATTTTTTTAGCCATTCATCTATTGATGGATGTCTAGGCTGGTTCTATTTCCTACCCATTGTGAACAATGTGGCAATAAATATGAATATGCAAGTATCTCTGGGGTGTATTGACTTGAGTCCTTTGGGTAGATACCCAGGAGTGGTATGCCTGGGTCACATGATACGTCTATTTTTCAATATTTTAGAAATCTCTAGGTTGATTTCCATAGTAACTGCATCAGTTTACATTTCCACTAGCATTGAATAAAAGCTCCTCTTACTTTTTTTCCCCCTGAGACAGGGCTTCTCTATGTAACAGCTATGGCTGTCCTGGAACTCACTCTGTAGACCAGGCTGGACTTGAACTCACAGAGAACCACCTACCTCTGCCTCCTGAGTGCTGGGATTAAAGGCATGCGCTACCAGCACCAGCAAGGTTCCTCTTTCTCCAAATAGGTCCTCAGCAGTATTCATTGTCGCTTGTTATCTTGACGACAGCCTGTCTGACGAAAGTGAGATGGAACCTCAAGGCGATTTAATTTGCACTTTCCTCGTGGACTACTTTTCCGAGTGTTTATTGTCCGTCTGTGTTTCCTCTTTTGAGACTTGACTATTCAGCTCATTAGCCCACTTATTGATTGGAAGATTCATTTATTCCATGTTTAACTTTTGTAGCTCTTTATATATTCTAGGTGTGAAGTCCCCATGTGGAATATAGTTGAAAAGACTTTCTCCCATTCTGCATGTGTCTCTCTTCTGCTGACTATTCCTTTTGAGGGTCTGTTGTTTCCTTTCTTTGTTTCAGCAGTGGAAAAGCCAAGTAATCTAAGTTATGTGGCTAGGGAAAGATGAAGCATTCGGGGCTAATAAAGAAAAGCAATAAGTCAGAAGATGTTAGAAATTATTCTACACAGGGATTAGCAGGACCATCAGAGGATGTTATTCTACACAGGCACCATCAGAAGAGCCTCCTGAAGAACTGTACGCACAGAAAGTGGTTGCTTTCTAAGGAAAAGAGTGGGGTTGTAGCAAAGCACGTTCTAAAATCTACTAGGAAGAACTCAGGTCTGGACTTTGTTAAGCTACATGTACGTTCTCCTTATTCTGCTGTGAGCTTCCTATTTGCCAGGGATCTGTCCCATTCACCCACTGGTAGAGAGCATCCAGAACACACTTGAACTGAAATAAAGATGAACTTCTAAGAAGAAATATTGAGGACCTCTTTAGTAAACGACAAGGGAGACCCTAAGGAATTCCAGGAAGATAGAAAGTGACCTGCTTGCACAGTGCTGAAGACATGGGGTTATTTTATTTTTTCAGTCATCAGTTACCTAAAAGAACCCAAACCAATCATCGTTCCATTAATAAGAGTAGTGATATGGCAAGAAATTTTGTGGTGGATAATTAGGACATTGTTGATACACAGTACAAAGGTAAGGGACTCACGGGTTTACACACCCTGATTTTCTCAAGGAGCAAACAGAGTCATGAGGGATAATGCAGTGCACAAGCCATTCGTGTGTCAGCTCCACTATGACGAGGTGATCTGCCTCTGGCTCCCCTGTGCTGTTGTTACCGAGGGCACTCTTAGCTGATATGATTAGAACTGGTTTGAAGGAACGTTTTGTTTTCTAACTCCACGTGTTAATAGTACTTAGAGTGCCTCTGTCACCTTGGCCTGGGAAGCAAATGTACATTGAGGACAAACAGAACCTAAGATGTTCATACTTTGCCCTTGGCATCAGCTGTTTACAAATCATAATAGCAGCCACTTCTGAACTTCTGGAAGTGTGTTAAGTATTACAGTAAACACTTTGCCCTCACTAATTTCATCCTCATAAAGTCAGGCAGTTCATAACTTCTCTGGTCTTCTTTCCCTCTTCTTTTTTTCCATTACTCATTTTCAGTGAAATAGAAATTGGGATTTATTTCTAATATACCCAGCAGATGTTTACGGAGTAGCATTTATGAGCTAAATACTATGTACAAGGCATGCCTGGCCTTGCCCTTAAGAAGTCTGCATCCTGGGAAGGGAGAAACAGGTGTGAAGGACTTCAGTAAAGTTGCTCTGGGCTGGTGAGAGAGGACAGGGAAGAGACAGCATTCTCATTGATGACT